ACTTAGTCGCCACGGCGGGGAAGAAAACAGTGCCTGCCACTCCCACTCTTGACTCGCTCGCCACTCTCGACTCGCTCGCCATTCTCAACTCGCTCGCACCGTTGCAACCATGATGGGAGGAGACGAGCAACGCACCAGCAGCAGGGGGAATGGGAACTAAACCGTCTACCAGACATGATCACCCGTTCGTCTAAACTCCAGACAGACGGAGCCTAACCCATCTCCCTTAACCCTGGCTGGATTAGTGTAGGTACATGTGTGTGTGTGCGACGGAGCCTAAGCCATCTTCCTGAACCTTGGCTGGGTAAGCGTAGTAGGTACATGGGTGTGTGCGGTAGTGTTCGAGCAAAGAGAGAACAACAGATACCGAGAGCCTCATGAGATCATACACAATAGTTTTGATGTGCTGCATGCGTGCATACATTTCGATCCATCATCAACAATCCTGCTGCTCCTCGTTCTCTCCCCCCCTTCCCCCTGCCCCCCTCCTCTCTCTTTCACATGCAACCCAACTAATCAGCTGCAAAGCAAATTGCAGTGAAGACATCCTGGCTCCTCACATCGCACTCCACAAAATCTTGTCTGGATATAGCAAGAAGCGCAACCCGAGCCGCTGAAGCCTAAGCTTACAGACTATGAACAGCAAGTCGCCAATGAGCAATTGGTTGATCTTTCATAAAACATACAGAGCCGCCTTCTTTCCTGACGTGGAGCATTTATTTCCCTAGTCATCATCTTCAACCACAACGATGCCCCGAGCACTGTGTCGAACCTCATCATCGTCATCATCACTGGTCTTGTCATCATCATCATCATCAGCAGCAGCAGCAGCAGTAGCAGCAGTCGACGCAGCAGCACCATTATGCTCGTGATCATTGTCGCCAGCTTGCTCCTCCCCTCCTCCCACACCATTGCTTTCCTCCTCTACTTTCTTGGCGTAAAGCATCTGCCTATCGTCATACAATTCGCCGTCAACATTATCATCATCTTCCCAGGGGTGGGCTCTCTTTCCCTCATCCTTGTTCTGGACGCCGGACTTCTTTTCCTCTCTCTTACTCTCCACAACACAGTCTTTTCCCCCTTTGCTACAGTTCTCATCTTCGTCATCCTTGCTGTCACTCTTTTCATCATCCTCAGTCCCAATCTTTTGCAATTCCAGCACATCCCCAACCAGCAGCGTATGCTCTTCATTAAGTTCTTCATCGTCGTCATCATCTCCATCAGGCCCTACTATGTTCTCCTCGTGGTGCAAAAATGAGGGCGATACAAGCTCAGCTGCCACCGGTGACGAAGCCATAGATTGGCACTGTTTGTCCAAAACTCGGTCTTCCACAGCGCCAAACGACTCGTCCAGGATGTCATCATCATGATCATCGCTGGCAGGATTCCTTTCGGCAACATGATTCAGAGGTCCTGAGCCTGGCTGGCTCTGACTAACCCCACTTAGACTTGCCCCAGATGTGGCCTTGCCACCGCCGCCACCGTCGCCGCCCCTTCTCTCTTCGACTGCCGCCTCATTACTCACCTTTCCAAGCTCCATAGCATTGGATTCGAGACCACTGTTGACGTCATCTTCACATTCCATCTTGCACTCATCCTCATCAGTTCTATACAGTCCCCATAACCGTTCTTCTGACTCCCCGTATGCCGTAAACTCAGGGATCGCGAGGTCATCGCCGGTAGTATCGCCCATAAGACTACACCTCTCTCCTCCTCCTCCTCCTCCTCCTCCTTGTGCTTGCTCTGCTACTCCGGCATGCCTTGCAG